TTCTGTTTCAGGGCTCTTCAAGGTGAGGTGACTGACAGATGGAAAGAAGAAATGCTGAGCTGTGTGCTGCTGCTGCCCCAGAACAGGAAACAGGATGTCGTCAAACTTTCTGTGTACTGGCTGAGAGTCTCACCCAACCCACACTTCCTTTTGCATTAATAATGGTAACAATTATACTGAAGTAAACATGGTATAGTTTTATATTAAAAGGAAGATTGATGGCTCTAGCTGGTTTAGCTCAGTGGATAGAGCATCGGCCTGAGGACTGAAGGTTCCCAGGTTCAATTCCAGTCAAGGGAACATACCTCGGTTGCAGATTTCCCCGGCCCTGGTTGGGTGCATGCAGGAGGCAACCAATTGATGTGTCTCTCTCACATTGATGTTTCTTTCTGTCTCTCCCTCTCCCTTCCATTCTCTTTTAAAATCAATAGAAAAATATCCTCTGGTGAGGATTAACAAAAAAAGAAGGAAGATTGATGATTTGAAATGTTAAACAGTGAGAAATAAAGTAATTGACATGGTTTTTATTTTCATGAATGGACTCTGACTAATAAGTATGTTCTTTTCTCAATTTAGAAAAGAAAATCACCAGCCTTGTCAACTATGATAGCAAAATTATGGCTTAAAAAAAATCAGGTCCTAATCCCAGGAATCTGTGAATGTTGCTTTATATGGAAAACACACACACACGCACAAAAACAACAACAAAAACCTTTGAAGATATAATTAAGGATTTTGACATTTTTATTTTAAAAAGTCATATAAAATTGACTATTTTCCTCTACAGTTATAACTGTAGTTTTGAATTTTAATAGATCATGTAACTATCACACAGTCATGACTCAGAAGAGTTTAATTACTCCCCAAGACACGCTTGTGCTGTCATTTTGTAATTACACATCCCCTATGACTACCTTCTTGCAAACCTTGGTTTGTTCTTTTATATTTTTGTCTTTTCAATTATCTTTCCTTGACATGGAAAGGTAATTATGGGTTATAGGAGCTTAAATGCAATCACATGTGTACTTTTAAGACAGAGACAGAGGGAGATTTGATGACAGGAGACTATGGGGGCAGAGATTGGAGTGATGCATCCACAAGTCAAGAAATGCTGGCACCCTCCACAGTTGGAAGCGTCAGGGAACAAATTCTCCCCTCGAGCCCCTGGAGCAAGTGCAGTCCTTCTGACAAGTGGGTTAAAAGAGACAAGACCCACACGTGTGCTGCCTACACGAGGCTCACTTCAGATCTAAAGATACAGACTGAAGTGAATGGACAGAAAAAGATATTGCATTCAAACAGAAATGCAATGAAAGCTTGGGTAGCAAGACTTAGACAAAATAGACTTTAAAACAAAGACTCTAACAAGACACAAGGGTATGACATAATGATAAAGGATTAATCCAACAAGAGGATATGAAACTTATAAACATCTATGCACCCATGATAGGCTCACCTAAATACATACAGCAAATATTCACAGACACAAAGGGAGAGGTTGATGGTAACATAATAATTAAACACCCCGCTTACATCAATGGATAGGCACAGACAAAATCAACAAAGAAACATTGACCTTGTGACACATTAGATTAGATAGACTTAATAGACATGTACAAAACATTCTAACCCAAAACAGTAGAATACACATTATTTTTAAGTACACATGAACATTCTCCAGGATAGATCACATGTTAGGCCACAAAACAAGTCAATAAATTCAAGAAGATTGAAATTATATCAAACACCTTCTCCAACCACGTATAACCACTGGGTGGCTGGTACTTCCTCTCACCAATATGCAGAATTCTCAAAAGATTATGTATTGTATGGTTCTATTCATAAGACATTTGTTAAAAAGACAAAAATATAAAAGAACAAATCAAGGTTTGCAAAAAGGTAGTCTCTAATCATTTATAAGAGGAAACTGGAAAAAACACATGGAGACTGAACATGTTACTAAACAACCAATGGGTCAATGAAGAAATCAAAGAGGAAATTTTAAAAAAATATCTTGAGACAAATTAAAATGAAAACAATGTTACAGTCCTGGCCGGTGTGGCTCAGTGGTAGAGCATCAACCCATGCACCAAAGGGTCTCGGATTCTATTCCTGGTCAAGAGCATATATCAATGTTTTCTCTCTCTCTCTCTCTCTCTCTCTCTCTCTCTCTCTCTCTCTCTCTCTTCCTCTCTCCTCCCCTCTCCTTCCTTTCCACTCTCTCTAAATATCAATGGAAAAAATATCCTTGGGTGAACATTAACAACACATACACACACAAAAAAAAATGTTACAAAATCTATGGAATGCAGCAAAAGTTGTACTAAGGGGAAAGTTTAGAGCAATACAGGCCTATCTCAAGAAATAAGAAAAATCTCAAATTATCCTAATTTACATCTAAAGGAACTAGAAAAAAGAAGAAAAAACAAAACCCAAAGTTAGTAGAATGAAGAAAATTATTAAGACAAGAGCAGAAGTAAATGAAATTGAAGTTGGAGACCATGCACTCACTAATGTAAAATTATACTACAAAGATATAGTAATGAAAACAGTATGGTGCTAACACAGAACAATATGGTACTATCACAAAAACAGTATGGTACTGACCAAAAACAAGTTGATCAATAGAACAGAAAGAAGAACCCAGAAATGATCCCATGTTT